TTGTCCAAATCCATACAACACCAAGAGAACTCTAACGTACACCATGGTCTTTGGTTATGATGCATCTATGTAGTTCCGCTGTAACAAATGTGTTGCTCTGGTTGGAAATATTGGTGATGAAGTCAGAGGGTATATAAGAAGTTTGTATACCCTTCTCATTTCTGCTGTGAGCCTAAAACCACTCAAATATAAAGTATTTATTACATTCAGAGTCCTTTTACTTCAAGAAAACTTCTTAAGGGTCTGGTGGTGTGAAGGATATTGACATATCCCTTCTAATATGAAGGTATGGTGAAGGATAAGATGGTGCATCTGTTCTTTGCTATGAAAAAGGTGGGAGGCAACAGCTGATGGGCGGCTTTGGGTTTAAGAGGCAACATGTTCCTCAGTGGGTGTATTACCCTGGCCCACTTACTGAATGACCCCTAAAGCTTCTAGCTTTGACTTGGACCCAGAAATGGAATGTACAGCAGGTTCAGGCTACTGTAAAAACTGCCTTGCCACCTGGGCCATATAATCCAGCAAGTCCAATGATGCTTGAAGTATCAGTGGCAGATAGGCATGTTGACTGGAGCCTTTGGCAGACCCCTATAGGTGAACTGCTGTAGAGACAAGTAGAGTTTTGGAATAAAGCCCTGCCCTCTTTTCTGGATGACTACTCTCCATTTAAGAAATAACTCTTGGACTACTTACTGAGCCTTGGTAGAGGTTGAATGCTTGAGCATGGGCCATCAAGTGACCATGTGACTGGAGCTTCCCTTCCTGAACTGGGCTTTATCTAACCCACCAAGCCATTAAATGGAGCATGAATAACAGGACTCCATCAAATAGAAGTGTTATATGTGTAAATGAGCCCAAGCATGTCATGAAGGCACAACTTACATAAAGTGGCCCCAATGCTCATAGTATGCCCTGCTACTACAGTTTCTCCATGCCTGCAGCTATGACCTCACAAGGAGTTTATAGAGGAAACTAAGACTTGGACCTAGTTTATAGAAGGTTCTGTATAATATACAGGAACCACCTGAAAATGGACTGCCCCTTCCTGGGACATCCCTGAAGGAAAGTGCTGAAGAAAAACCTCCCTGTTGGCAGAACTTTGATCAGCACAACTAGTTGTTTACTTTTCTTGAAAGGAGAAGCAGCCAGAGGCACAATTATATACTGATTATGGGGTATGGCCAATGGTTTGGCTGGATAGTCAGAGACTTAGAAGGAACATGATTAGAAAACTGGTAATGCAACAGGGAAAATGAGACACATCTCTGAAAGGATGAAAAATGAAGATGTGTCCCATGTAAATGCTCAAAGGATGACCTCAGCAGACAAGGACTAAAAGTCAGCTGGATAGGATGACCTGTTCTATAGATATTAATTAGCCTTTTTTCCTAGCCATCCCTGTCATTGCCCAATGGAGTCATGAATGAAGTGGCCACAGTGGCAGGGATGGAGGCTATATATGAATCCAATAATAGGGAATCACCAATGCCAATCTGACCATGTTCATTGATGAGGGTGGGGCATAGCTGCTTGATTTACTTGAAGCAGAGCCTCACAACCGAACCCAGCTTGCATCAGATTCCCAGCTGATCTTCAGATGCATAAACAAATCCTGCTGAGGTTAGAAGTCATCTCAGCCAATCTCCAGATATATGAAACATACATTTTTATGTATGTACAACTCACATTTTATGTTGTATGCCACGGAGGTTTTTGTGGGTATGTTTTTTTCACAGTCCATTCTGAAACATCAAATTGCCAACATCTGTTGGATCATTGAAAAAGCAAGAGAGTTCCAGAAAAGCATCTACTTCTGCTTTATTGACTATGCCAAAGCCTTTGACCGTGTGGATCACAACAAACTGTGGAAAATTCTGAAAGAGATGGGAATACCAGACCACCTGACCTGCCTCCTGAGAAATCTGTATGCAGGTCAAGAAGGAACAGTTAGAACTGNGATCCAACCAGTCCATCCTAAAGGAAATCAGTCCTGAATATTCATTGGAAGGATTGATGCTGAAGCTGAAACTCCAATACTCTGGCCACCTGATGGGAAGAACTGATTCAGGGAAGACCCTGAATGGGAAGACCCTGATGCTGGGAAAGATTGAAGGCAGGAGGAGAAGGGGATAACAGAGGATGAGATGCCTGGGTGGCATCACTGACTTGATGGACATGAGTTTGAGCAAGCTCCAGGAGTTGGTGATGGACTGTGCTGCAGTCCATGGGGTTGCAAACAGCTGGACACAACTGAGCAACTGAACTGAACTGACATTCTGGAAAATAAATGTTTGTCATTGTTATATAGTAAATTGAATAATGGATTAAATAAGCATTACCAGGCTGTAAGATCTGATTTGTCCCTATGTTTTATATAAGAATGACCTTGTCTTTCAGGTGACACTCTCAACCTCCTACAGAGGGTGAATTGAGCCCCACCTAGAAGTCTAATAGTATATGAATCCATTACCATGTAATACAGTCTATGTTTGTGTCATTAGTATTTATTGTTATTTTTAGGTTTTCCACCCAACCATGTTCAAAAGAAACAAGCAAAAAGTTTTAAAGTTTTGAATTAAAGGTAGAAAATCATTTCTGTGTGTGTGTAAATGTCAGGGGAAACCATAGGAGCAGAGGTGGAAAATGAGCATAAATAAGTCTCTGGTCTAGCTACACTCTTTCTCTGTGAGCATTTCCAAATATCTGATATGGGCTTAGAGATTCTCTTTCAAAGTTAATAATATGAGTAGACAGATATGTAGAAATATAGAGAGAACTAGAGATAGAAATACAATTTTTAAAAATTTTAAAAATTTATTTAATTTCTAAACAGTCTGAGGAAACAAAGGAGTCATGAGATAAATGTGGAAGAAAGCAAATGTGAAAGATTGTAAATGAGGGCTTGTGTGACCACACAAATGCTAGTTGTCAGGATTAATACTAAGGAATTCTTTACTATATAAATTTGTATTGGATAGAGGAAAAGAAAAAGACGCAGGTCAATGTGCCCATTTCCCATCTGCTTTGCCTACCTATTATTCCCAGCCTCTAGCACAGATTTCTCAATATTTTGTGAATGGACTCATAAAAAAGAGGAAGTCACATACTTGGTGAAAATGTAAGATACATCTGTGTGAACATAAGGGTTGTATGAATGCAGAGAAGTGTCAGAAAGACTTGTCTTAGTAAAAGTATTTAATGAGAGGGGTTTCCCATTGGGATGTAGAGCCCAGAAGAAATCAAAGAAGGCAAAAACTGACTTATTTGAAGAAATAAATCTTAATGAGCAAAGCTGTCTATATAGGAACCTATAGCCCTGGAAGATCATGAGCTCTCCCAAACTGGAAGTATTAGGTTGGCCAAGAAGTTCCTTTGGTTTTAAAGTAAGAATAGGACACATTTTTCATTTTTACCGAGGACATCGTTGAATAACATAGTCACTGTTTTCTTCCACTCACAGCCATTTTTTTTCAGGCAACTTCATAATTACATCTTCCAAAAACTATTTTTTGAGTAAAGAACTGCTCAATGTGTTTTTTATAGTCTTCTAGGGAATTGGAAATTTTTTCTATGAAGAGAATTTTGTAAAGATGGAAATAAATGGGCACCCAAAGGTGCAATGTCTGATGAATGTGGCCGATGAATCAGAACTTCGCAGCCAAGCTGTAACAGTTTTTGCCTGGTTGAAGAAATATTTGGTCTTGTGTTAACCTGATAGAAGATTATGGGTTTTCTGTTGATTAATACTGGAGGCTTTTCATTGAGTGCTGCTTTCACTTGGTCTAATTGGGAGCAGTACTTGTTGGAATTAATTGTTTGGTTTTCTGAAAGGAGCTCATAATAGAGGACTCTATTTTAATCCCATTATATACGTAACATCTTTGGATGAAGTCTGGCCTTTGATGTGGTTGGGGGTGGTTCATTTCAGTTGCCTCATGATCTCTTCCACTGCAAATTTTTGTACAAATATTAATATTTAATTACTCACCACAATTCATTTTAAAAATGGAATGTTTTCACCATGTTTAAGTAGAGAATTGCATGAGGAAATATGGTCAAGAAGGTGTTTTTTTTCACTCAACTTCTGTGGAATCCAAACAAAATGATTAAAATAAAAGCTGGTATAAATGATTCTCAATATGCATTATTTTGAGTATGTTGGCTATCTCCTGTATGGTATAATGTTGATTGTTCTTCATGTCTCAACTTGATTACTATCAACATCAACTACTTTACCAGAACATGCAACATGAAACTTTGCAAACCACTTTTAGACATCTGATTAGTCACAGCACCTTCTCAAAACACTGCACAGTTATTTTCTGCATTTAAGTTGTGATTTTACCTTTCTTGAAATAAAGCATAATATGCCAAAAATGTTGATTTCATCTTCAACATTAAATTTATTTGTGTAGCTGTAAGTTTTTTTAAATGCATGCTGATATGACAACCATGCCTGTACAACCTAACAAAACTTTTTCAAATAAACTGAAAGACAACTAAACACTACTAGAGCCATCTTATGGGGGCAAAAAATGAAATGAACCTTTTGGCCAATCCAATATTTAAGCAGAGATGGAGCATAAGCCATCAGACTAAAGGAACATTCCTGCCTTGGATGAAATGTTGACCCTTATTTAAGTCTTGACTGGATTAATTCACCAAATCCACTTAGTAAATTACCTCAAAAGCATCTCTGTGTTATTAGGTGATGCTGGGGAGAAGGGTGGGTCAAACCTTTGCCTCTGGTAGAAAAATGGGGTCTTTGCTGTCTTCTCTAAGTCAGCAGTTTGAGTCCAGAGGCTACCAGAATACAAGGAACCTTAAGTTCTCATCATACTGGTGACTCCAAGTTTCAGGACACCAGTTAGTTTTTCATTTCACCGGGAAAGAACTGAACATAAGTCTGGCAACATTCTACTTCCTCATTCCCTCATTCCTTCACCCCTATTCAGTTTTCTACCTGTCCCACCCTATCTCTGCCTGCACCTCACTGTCACTTACACACCATTTCTCAGGAATAGTCCTAAGACTCGTTCACGAATCTGCTTGGTCTTGACCCCATAGATGATGGGATTGACCATGGGTGGGAAGAGCAGATAGAAATTGGCAAGGAGGATGTGCACATGTGGAGCAGCCTGGCGAGCTACCCGGTGCATGACTGAGGAGATGACAACAGGTGTGTAAAAGGCTAAAATAGCACCTATGTGGGACACACAGGTCCCAAAGGCCTTATAGCGGGCCTCCTGAGAGGCAAGCTGTAGAACTGCCTGGAGGATGAAGATGTAAGACAAGGTAACAAAGAGCAGGTCCAATACCACGATAAACATGGCCACAGCAATGCCATAGATATTGTTGAAGCGAGTGTCCCCACAGGCCAGCCTTACCACCGCCATGTGCTCACAGTAGCAGTGGGCAATCACTGGACCTCGGCAGTAGTGGAAGCTTCTGAGCAGAAAGGGGAGTGGAGTCATGAGTGTCACAGCCCGAGTCACAGCAGCCAAGCCGATCTTGGTGATAAGTGGCCCGGTGAGGATGGTGCTGTAGTGCAGTGGCTTGCAGATGGCCACATAGCGGTCAAAGGCCATGGCCAGCAGCACCGCCGACTCCATGATGGAGAAGGAGTGAAGAAAGAACATCTGGACCAGACAGGCATAGAAGTTGATCTTTTGATCCCTGAACCAGAAGATGCCCAACATTTTGGGAAGTGTTGTAGAAGAAAGGACCAGATCAATGACTGCCAACATGGCCAAAAATAGGTACATGGGCTCGTGGAGGGCTGCATCAGCCTGAATGATGAAGAAGAGGGTGCAATTGCCAAGCAGGGCCAGTGTATAGGCTGAGCAGAAAGGAATAGAGATCCAGACATGTAGGTGCTCCAGGCCTGGGATCCCCATCAACAGGAAGAATGTTGGATGAATTGAGGTGATATTGGAGGCAGACATGGCCAACAGAAATTCTCTTTCTCTGGTCTCCTTCCACAGGGCCTTCCAGGGAGTACACAGTGTCAGCAGGATTATAGTGTTCAAGTTCAAACTCTGATCATTTACATGGAAGGCTTAGCCCTTGACCCTACTTTTGGGCCTTAAAAGAAATTACAAAGTAGTCATAATATGAATTGTTAAACATTATATATCATATCTGCCCTCAAAATGCTTATAAAACTATTGAGTGGTCAGAATGTCAAATCACAGTAGAGCTAAGAAGACATCCTTCATAAAAGAATTAAGTGGATGAAGAGCTTTTGTGGTCTTTGTGTAGTGAAATCTTACCCTAAAACATTCACTGTCTTCCTTTGCCTCCCATCTCAACCTGTACTCCTAATTACAAAGGAAAGTTTCTCTTCTAAAATGTCAAGCTTGAATACATAAATAATTAAGCCTGGCACTTTCTGAAAAGTCGCTTCCTCTAAGTATTGATATTATCGGTCATTACTTGACACTCAGAAATCTCGAGTAGGGCCATAAAGCTTGATCACCTCCAGTTAACTTTAGAATGTGAAAAGCCCCATTATTCTCCTTCCCTTCAACTCTAACTTTTATCTTGATATACTTCTACCTCAACTACTTTTCTTTCTACAATTCATAACACTCAGAAGAGATGCTCCATTCAATTTTTGAAAGACTGGCCTCTGAATTTCTTGGGTTTCACATCTTTTTTCTTCTTTCTGGGATTTTTTATCATCTTCTTTCCCCTGCTCTTATCATTTATTGTGGAAATGCAGACTCATTTGTTTCCCCAAATTTTGAATGGTGTCGCTTCTCTTTTCTCTCAGTTCCTACATAAAGTTTCTTCTGAGGATTAACTGAGACAATCTTTTAAAACACTCAATACAGTGGATGAAAGGATAAAGAAAATGTGCCATATATACACAATGAAATCCTATTAAGCCATATAAAAGGAGAAAATCCTGCATTGCGACAACACAGAGGGACACTGAGGGCATCATGCTAAGTGAAACAAGTAATACAAAGAAAAGCAAATACCATATGATATCACTTACACATGGAACTTAGAAAAAAAAACAAACTCATAAAAACAGATTGGTGGTTGGGAGGTGAGGGTTGGGGATATTGTTGAAGGTGGTCAAAAGATACAAACTTCCAGTTATAAGTTCTGGGGATATAAAATGCAGCATGGTAACTTCAGTTAAAAATAGTCTAGGGACTTCCCTGGTGGTCCAGTGGTTAAGACTTTACCTTCCAATGCAAGGGGTATGGGTTTGATCTCTGGTCAGAGAGCTAAGATCCCACATGCCTAACATAAAGCATAAAACAAAACATAAAACAGAAGCACTATTGCAACAAATACAAAAAAGATGAACAAAATACTCTTGTATATTTGAAAGTTGTTAAAAGAATAGATTTTAAAGTTCTCATCACAAGAAAAATAACTATGTGAAGTGATAGATGTTAATTAGTGGTAATCATTTTGTACTATATCCATGTACCAAATCACTGCATTATACACCTTAAACTGATTCAGTGTCATGTCAACTGTATTCCAGTAAAACTGGAAATTTTCTTTTTTAAAAAAAAGCACAAATCTAGAACATTAAAAAGAGTTAAGTAAATGTGAACATGTTTTTGAATTGAGAAATCAAAAATATTGACAGTCATATGGTTGGTAAGTGTCAAAGATCAAACTTGAACTTGGAGAACTCTGGTTTCCTACCTTCAAATTCAGTGTCTTATATCACTTAAACTGCTTCCACCTTGTTGCTCTATAAGTTGTTCATGCTCAGGTTAAGTTGTTCATGCTCAGATTGAAAAAAGCTTTGCAATCTAAAGAATTGGGCCCATTTAGTGCCACTGTACCAGCAGAAACTCAATGATATTTTTAAAGTTTTAGCTTCCTCACCTTTCAATAATGGTAATAACTATACCTCCCACGACCATCTTACTGAGCTTTATTGTGAAGAAAGATGGAATCATGAGAATAGACCTTGATAACTGTAAAGCATTGTACACACACCGCCATTACTGTGGTCCTTCCCTAGCACAAATTTGCCTTATTTTCTAAAAGTTTCTCTTGATTAGTATCAGCACAATCCTGTATCCCTTGGCTTCAAACCTTCCTCCAGCTAATAGCCCTTGTTTCTCTTCCCCTTCACAGCACAACTTGTTCAGAAGTTTGACTGCATGAAATCTCTGCCTCCTCATCTCTCATTTAATTCTCAGTCTTTCCCAGTCTAGCTTCACTACTCCCTGTCCACTGATCCTGTTATCACTTCCTTTCCCCTCACTCTCACCTTCTCCTTTTCTGCTTTTTATTCTCACACTTCTCTAGGTGTTCTCTTTGATTTCTTTTGGCTTTTTTTGTTGTTTTTTAACCTGTCTCTGTCCAGGGAATTCTCAAATGCACGGCTTTTACTTTTACTATTAGATATTTCCAATTGGATGTTCCACAGTCATCACAAATAAAATATGGCCAAAACAAATATTTCTCTCTCCCACAAAATATTTCCTCCCCGGGATGTGCCCATCTCAGTAGGCATTACTGCTGTCTGTCCTATTGTGAGCTCAGAACCCTAGGGATAAGCCTTAATCCTTTCCCCTCTTCCTTCATATCCAATTCATCAGTAAATCTTATTAATCTGCAAAATGTATTTCACTCCCTATGCTTTTCTTTTTCTCCTGCCAACACTCTTATTTAAATCACCATCATCTTTTCACCCAGACTACAAAAGCCTCACATCTGGCCTCAGTGGTCTATATATTGGACACTCTGTAATCCATTCTCCTTACTACAGATGAAGAGACTATTAAGGCTAATTTATATTATGCTGGGCCTTGCCTAAGACCTTCTTGGAATTACCACCGCACTAAGGATGAAATCCACATTCCGACCCTGGTTTACAGGTACCTGCAGCGTCTGGCCGCTGCTCATTTTTCACCCTCAGCCCCTTTCACCCATGCTTCAGTCACGCAGCTTCTGCCACACCCTGCTCAATGATGACACCCCGTGAACCATCTGAATTCTCATGCTGCTCTTCTCTCTATGCCCTTTGTCTTCCCAAAGTCATATCATCTCTTGCCAGTGTCACTAGAGAGCTCTCCTTATAGTTTTTCACCCCACTCCATCTATCTACCACTGTGTGATAGACCTACTGGAAACCACTGGCAATCTCATGACTACGAAAGAAACTTAAAACTGCTTAACATGGATACAAACTTGGTCTTACCTAAATTAGCCTCACTTCTTACCATTCTTCTAAAAAAATATTTATCCCAGGTTCAGCCACAGATTGTGTCACCTTCTGGGACAGTCTTGCTTGCAGCTCCCATCATTTATCTGGAATAATTTCCTCTGCCTATTTCCACACCTGGCTAAGATCCTGCCACCATCTTGGTGAAGCCTTCTCAGACCCTTCCAAGAAGATTTTCTCAATGTTTTCAATGAGGACTCATTAATGGGCTGAATTAAATAATACGGGGAGAGAGTGATATATGTTGCTAATGCACTTATCTGTCCATTCATTGGACTGTGAATGCTTTTAGTACAAGAATTTTGCCTTCATTTCTGTATTCACAGACTCTGTTGAACCTGGTTGTTGCTCAGTAGGTGCTCTTTAAATAAATGCATAGGGGAGGGAGGCTCAAGAGGAAGGTAATACATGAATAATTATGGCTGATTTGCATGGCTATTTGGCAGAAACCAACACAACACTGTAAAACAATTTCCCCCAATTAAAAATCAGTTTTAAATTAGTCATTAAAAGATAAACAAATGCATGAAGGACTCTCTCCATGAAGAAACTTCCTCCTCTGTGCTGCTGGATAATATACCATCTGATGCAAAGTGAGGCTTACTGGGTATATCTTAAGCACCTCCACAGATGGACATTCTGTAAAACCTTCCATCAGTTTTGGCTAACTAGGTCAGGATAAGAAGTTTTTTTTTTTTTAAGAAACTTCTCCAAGTCTAATCTGTATTTTCTCTGACTAAGCACTGGGATCAACAACATGGAAGGCCCATGACTCTGGGGCTGTTTTCACATTTACTGCCAGTATATCCTTGGTACCCATAGAGAAATTCACTAATATTTCTTGAATGAATGAGAGAATACCCTCTTCTCCATGATGTCACCCTATTCTAAGTGAATGTGCTTCTCCAGTTCCAAACAGTTTTCCCCTCCCCGAGGATCTACTTCTTGGGGGCTCCTATTGACCATCACTGGTTCTCCAGTCTCTTTGCTCACACAACCTCAATCTCAGTTTCCCATTCTGTTGAAAATGCCTAATAATTCACCATCTTCCGCCTTTCCAGATTCAACAAAAATACACCTCTAGTGTCATTTACAATACAACTCTGCTTATCTGGTTTCTTCTCTTTTCCATCACCCTTCAGCCTACTTGGCAGGAGTGTTCTGTCAAGTCCTTACCTGTCACTGTCTTGTTTTTTGCCGCCACAGCCAGAATGTCAGCAAATGACAAAAGAAAGCCTGTGTCATTTATTTCGATGTCTCTCATCAAAGTGTATGTGGCTCTGTATCTGGAGAGTATTCAATCAGTGATGTAGTATAGATAGGCTACACCTTTAACTTGAGAAGATCCTAGAATGATGATAGATATGGGAAACTGAATCTTCAAGTGATCCTGGAGGATATAAGAGGCAGATAAAGGACTGAATTTCACAACTTCTGACTCTTATACCAAGATTCAATCTACAGGACTACACTGAAAAGATAGAACTCATTGTTGCTAGACCTTTAATAAGCAAGTATAATTGATCTGTCCCTTCCATTTCTTATTTTCAATTTCTCCTTTTTTCCCTAGACCATTTCCGCAGCTGTGACTGAGGAGGGGCCAGACTGAGGCAGGAGAAGAGCAAGTAGCACTCACAGGAGGGAGGTGCTAACCTCAAAGATTAAACTTGAACAACTCTGGTTTCCTACCTTCAAATTCAGTGTCTTGTATCACTTATATCTGCCTCCACCTTGTTG